GGAATAGATTTATGATGTAAGTAATCCATCATCTGAAAATATCTCTAATTATTCTTCGTTTTACTTTCTTCTTAATTGTTTTTTTAACTTTCTTTCGAGGTTTTGACTTGCTTCTTCGCTTACGCTTTCGCGCTTTATATAGTCTTCCTGTTCCAATTTGATCTACAGCATTGGATAATTTTTCAAGACCCTCTTTAGCAGCAGTCTTTGATCCTTCTTTAAATCTATTTTTAACAGATGATTTAAAATTTTGATTAGCTAAGACATCGGCACCTACAGCCATACCAGTTGATAATAAATGTTTTCCTAAAAACTTAAGTAATGGAATCCCGAATTTACCTAATATTGTACCAAAACCAAATCCACCAGTTTGATAAGGATACCCGCGATAGATTTTAATATCGCTTAGTCCCCCACCGGCTTGATTGATATAATAAGCACGTAAATTACAATCACTAGGACAATATTTTCGTTTTGAAGACATGATTTTACTTTATTAAAATACATTTAGGCTTTATATAGAGCTTCTTCGGGGTCTAAAATGTAATGTAAGATAAACAGTACCATAATCAAATGCAATCGAACTTCCAGTTTCATCACGTAACATTACAGATACACTAGAAATCCTTTGATGACGTACAGGGAAATAGATTGGTTTAATAAATGTATGTCCAAGAATTCTCGGTTCATTTTCTTTCCAGAGAGCAACAACTCTAAGTGAGTTGGCCATTACATCTCCAACATGATGCTCGGAAATTATGTCACAATAAATGAACATTAAATTATTAGTAAGATGTTTGTCATGATAATATTTAGCTCTTATCATTGTATTGAAATCTTTTGATTCTTCCAAATAGTCTACGGGTTCGAATCCCAACAGTCGAAGAAAATTATGATCCTTGAAAACAATGTTTAAACGAGCAGTCATGTTTTCACCAGCCAATGTCTCATAATCAACTGATCCTGGGTAAATTGTTACAATTTTCCTATTATCAATTGGTTGTTGACTTAAACTTACAGAAGGTAAATTCAATTTAGATGTTTTTCCAAAATCCTCAATAGCTTTTGAAACACCTTCATGTGTTTTTACTACCTTGTTCAATACATCACAAATGTCAGATAAAGTATCTTCTTGTTTATAAACAAACTCGATATCTTCCCACATTGGAGATCCATTCAATAGTATATCAAATGAACTTTTCTTTGTTTGTTTATTGAAAACCAAGGTAGGATGGAAAAGTTCGATAATGGCACATTCATATTCACGATCCAATTCAATAGGAACCAATAATTCATTTGTAAAAGAACCAAGATAATTTTGAGGATGAATTTGTACTGAAGCATTTGAGATTAAATCAATAGTAAACTCAGTCATCTTCAGCCGGATTATATGGTGATGTTGTACTAGGTTTTGTTTCTCGGGGGGGTTCTAGTTTCTTGTTCAAAGGCTCAGACGTCAACTGTTCTGTTTTAACTGGAACATCCAAAGTCTTTGATTGAATTAAAGTTCTATTAATAGATTGGAGAGTATCCAATAGTTCAAAATTTGTCTTTGGTTTTGTTTCCAATATATTTCTAGCAATATTTTGTAGATTTTGAAGTAATTGATAATCAGCTTTTGGTGCTGTTATATTTGTAGATATTGTTTTGAGAACCTCCAATAACTGAGAATCAGTATGTTGAATACTTTGAACGGGTTTATATTGTCTTGTTATTATCAGTGTTATCGCAAGGTCCATACGACGGAAATTTCTCAATCTTGTAAATGTAGTATTTGTTACTTTAAAGACAATAGAATCAAATGATTTTTTAGTTACTGGTACATTATACGTTCCATCAAATTGAATATAATCTTTTGAACTTGGTAATACACAAAGAGGTTTAGCAGCAATATCTGCAGAAAGAATAAAAGCTGAAGGATCAAGTTCATAAGGTGCATGTGTATAATATTTATCATCAAATGTTGCCGTCACTATGAACTCATTTAATCCAAATAAATCGAAACCAATATCACTTAGAAAAGAATTGTTAGATGTAGAAAAGGTGAATCTCTTTCCAATGAAATTTCCATTAGTATCATTAGTATGGTTGACCAAACCACAATAAAGATAACCGTTTATATAGTCAAAAGTAGGTAATACATGAGTTTTTCTCTTTGCACCCAGTATAACGTAAATTGAAATATTTATATTATTTACCAACTTTTTCGGTTCATGATCATCTAAAAATCGTATTGTAGTAGGTTTATCATCACCATCAAAAGTGAATGAAATTGATTGCATTTGTTTATATTTTGATCCATATGAACATGATGATACGTGAACATTGTAGTCAATATTTTCATCCAAATTGATCTTTTCATCTAATGTAACTTGATAATCACTATACGAGTTTGTATTACAAATTAACGTTAATTTATTCATTTATCCAAAAGTCGTATTTTTCAGGGTATCCAATATAATGAACGAGGTATTTCTTTCTACCATTTGATTGAATATACTCAGTTACTCTTGCTTTATATTGTTTTGGTTCATCAACAGCAACAAGTTCTTCTGGGTAAAATATTGATGTAATTGGTTCATTATCTAAATCTTTAAGTCGATAAACATACTTGTGTGGAGTCTTTTTCCTTTGAACAATTTTGAATATCTCTTCATTAAAATTTTCAGTAGTTCCTTTTTCAAATGCACCCTTCTCACGGGACATTCGAACATATTCTTCGTTGGCCAATTTATCCACAACTTTTTTAGCAGGTTTCACTTTAAGATTTTTAATTACAGTTGCTTCATTATCTTTTGTTACTTCTTCTGGGGTCATTTTTATACTTCGGTGATAAGATCGATTATATCCAGTTAATATTGAAGGTAAAACATCAATAAATCTTTTTGTGTTGTTGTGATATAAATATCGATATATTCTACTTCTTAATGTCCTATTAAACCTTTCTGCAATAGCACATTTGATCACACCGTCAGTTGTTGTGAAGAAATTGATTCCATATTTTACCATTAAATCTTTGAAAATTTTGTTTTTAAATTCTTTTCCTTGATCTGTTTGAATTTTCTTTGGGACTCTACCACTATCGAAAATTGATTCCATAGCATCCGCTGTTGTTTTTCCAGATTTATCTTTTTGTGGAATAGCCCATGCATATCTACTCATCACGTCAACAACAACTAGAATATATCGATATCCATCATTATACTTGGCAAACCAAGTCATATCTAATAAATCAGCTTGCCATTGATGATCAATTTTGATAGCTAAAATTGGTAATCTTTTAAATTTTGTTTTTATTTGTTTGAAAAGAGAATATGTATTTTGTTTCTTAAGCCAATTTTTGACGTTATTAATTGATAATTCAGGTAAAATCTTCTTAGCTTCATAGTAAAGTTTGTAACCACCTCCGAAAGACGCTGGATGAGCTGGATCATAGTAAATTTCACTTAAAACTTTTTCAATTCGTTCCATGTAATTTTTCCACCACCTTTTTGTAACTTTTGCAAGTGTCTCTTAACCTCTTTATTCTTTATATCGACTTTAGTCTTCTTTGATGTCAATTCATTAATCACTTCTTCATATCCTAGTGGTTTACGTCTTTTTCGTTGTTCAGAGTTGTTGAAATATTTTAATAAATCATTTATGTTACTTTGTGGAATCGGATCCTTTTTATCGTCTAAAATTTCACCTTTATCATTGATAATATCTTTCAACTCTTGACGTATTGATGGTTCAGGTTGTGATTCCAAAGCATCTTCAAATTCATCTTCAGGTTCTTCTTTTTTAACAATTGTTGGATGATTAGAATTGATCAAGTCAATCATATTTTCACTTGGTTTATTGAGAATCTTTGCTAATGAAGCTTGTTTAACTAAATTGGAAGAGGGTTGTTTCAATGCAATTGTAATTGCGTCACTTTTTTGAGATTTCAATTGAAGATATTCGTTTTCTGGAATCAGAACCATCTTTGTAAATGCATTCATTTTTAGGTGTTAAAAACGATAATGCTGGATTCAAAGCTGTATGTAATTTATCACTAGTTTTGTATAATAATAACCTACGTCTTTTCAATGTTGTTGACTTTTTACTTAGTTCACGTAGTGAATCTTTATATTGGTTCAATTTATTCCGATGTTTAGGTTTAATTGGGATATTACCGAGTAAAATGTTACGTATAATTTCACAAATGGCATAAATTACTCTTTTCGAACACTTTAATAATATCTTTTCAAAGTCAGGAATATTTCTCAATTGTAAAAGTTTTTCAAGTAGTGGTAAACACTCGATACATCCTTTAAGACCCATTTTTATTTTGACAAATCAATCAAAAATACTTTATATAGAATAAACAGTTATCGGTGAAGTCCAAATGTTTGACATTAATCGTATTTCCTCTGGGGTATCTGGTTTACAATCCACAAATAAATATGAATATGGAGCAATCGTTGCATCGTTGAATATCTTTTGAAACATTTTTGTCTTGTTAGGATACATTTGACATCCAATATTACTTGCTAAACTCTTATCTCTAGGGTTTTTAAACATGACAATATAATGTGAATTTAGTGTTATGTTTCTCATTTCTTTACCTTTAGCAAAAAAGTTTTGAACAAGTAAAATCACTGATAAATTACGATGATGACTTTTGTAAATAAATTTGCAATCAGTTGACTGTTTGTTGATTCATTCATCAAATCATCTATTATAATCCAAGTTGGTTCATTTGTTCCTCCCAATTTACTTATATGATCCTCTGGTAATCCTTGAATGAAATTGACATTTTCCAACTCTGAGAAAATTGCTTGATATTCCCCATAGAAGTAATGTATCTTTTTAGGTGGTGGACTACTTGTTGTTTTAGATGAATTTATCATTTGTTTAACCCACATTGTTTTTCCACTTCCCGTTGGTCCTGAAATGACCATTGTGAATGGATGTTTCAAATAAACGGAATACATTTTGTTGATTACTAATTTCTTTTTATCAACTTTATATTGAAGATGATCAAAATCAAATTACTTTCTGATAGAGCCAGAATCCCAAAAAGAGATTCACCACAAGCTGTTGGTCTTATTCTTCACGCTGCTAAATCAAAAACAATTAAACCTCGAGATAAAGTTGTTGTTCCTACAGATTTACAAATTGAAATTCCAACGGGTTGTTATGGTCGAATTACTCAAAGACCTGGATTAGAATATAATCGCTCAATTGCTGTTGGTACAAGTATTATTGATTCTGATTACCGAGAAAATGTTGGTGTTGTAGTTTTCAACTTTAGTAATGACTATTACAGGATAAATCATGGATCTCGAATCGCTCAGTTGATTTGTGAAAAAATAATAATTCCTGAAGTAGTTGTAGTTAAGTAAAAAAGTTTATTGGGACAATAAGAAATTTAACAATTACAAAATTTCTTTTAAATTGATCACTTTTACATTTAAGATGATACATTATATTGTGATCAAAATTTTCCAAATGAATAATTATAAAATTGGTTACACATTTTCTTAAAACATTTCTCAAAGTAGCACGAAATTCTCCAAAAGTTTCGTTTACTCTTATGAAAACAAACTCTTCACGATACGGATGTTTAATTACTTTCATTTTAAATCGTCCAAAAAATCTTTGTATAAAGCTCCAAGATCCTTTATCTTCTTAACACCAGTGATTATAACTTTTTTTGACCGGAAAAATATAACAACTGGTCCTTTTCCACTTTTTCTCCAATATATCCCAGGAAATAATTCAGGTTCCCAAGAGAAACGTTTATTATAAAAAATCTTGTTAAAGTCAAAATCAAATCCAATTGTACTTGATCCAGTGATATTTAAAATCTTTCTTTTGATGATTTTTCCTTGACCAACAATATCATCAGCTATTTTCTTGGACTCCTTTAAACTTTTTGTTCCAGTTACTGTGAATTTTTTACTTGAAAAAACCAAAGCTTTACCATTCGAATATTTAACGATTGCTCCACTAAATCGTTTTGGATTATAATCAGGGTACTTTGTTGGGTCAAGTTTTACTGACGCTTCATATGAAACTACAATGTTTACGATCCTCATGTTGAATAACAACTGATGTTTTATACAATCCTCCTCCTTCTCACTCTCATCTTGGTCTTGATAGGATCTTACTTGCTCACTCAACTTGATCTCCCGAAAATCCTAGGTGTCGCTTAAGTCGAAGTGACTATATAAGGAGAGACGATTGTTAGTTTTGTTCATTCTCAAAGTTCTCTTCAACCTTTAAACTTGTGAAACAGTTACATTTTTTCCTCAATACTAACCATTCTCAACTATTATTTTCTACAGTGAAAAATGGCTTCATATAAATCCGGTAAACGACAAGTTGAAAACGTTACAACAGACTCTGACTCTGAAATTGAAGTGACCAAAAAACGTAAACGGGTCGATTTTAACGAACTTTTCTCCATCAAGTTATCTCCATACCATAAATATCATTGTGCTATTACCAATGGAAAAGCTGAAAAGGATAATATTCTTTTTGTCAATATTCGTGATGGATATTCTGTTTATGGTGCTGGTAAAGGATTGGTTCTTGGATATCAAGAGATTGTCCACATTGAACAACATCTCAACTATACAGAACCTCTTCCAAAATACAAAGCTACTGGCTTGCGTCTCACCGGTAAACCAAAAAATGGTAAATATGAATTTACTCGTCAAAAAGGTGATAAGAAAACTATTCTCAACCTCCCGATAACTGTTATTGCCGGTCTCCATCGTATCATTCCATCAATACGATTCATTATGGAAACTATCATTAAACTTGGAGATGAGAAACAATCACAAATTGATGAGTTTGTTCGAAAAGTCCAAAAGGCAGTAATGGTTTACATCAAGGATCTTGAAGATAACAACGGAGACTTCACTAAAGCTGATCTTCGTAAAATGTGCTGGATTTACACTGGACTTATTGCCTACTTCAATATTCCAGTCTTTGACAATCCTTACGAACCATCAAAACTCGGAGATATCTACGGAGTCAAAGTCGATGATGAGATGCAGACTCGAATTACTGAAGTCATCGACTATGTCATCATCAAGGTTTTCATTTAATCTTTCTTACTCATCACTTATTAACCTGATGATGTAATACTTTTCAATTATAACCATTGAGATACAACTGTATGTATCAACATAACCTTTTTCCAAGAATACAATCATATCACTTTAATTATAACCTTTTTCCAAGATACAACTGTATGTATCATTTTAATTAATCAATTAAATACATTTTGTAACCATTAATTACATTGATTACAATTATTTTGGTAATATTATGGACATTCTATACACTATAAACAATTCTGAACCTTCGAAAACCTGTTTAAGGTCAAATCTAGGTCAAAAGACGTTTCCCTGTTCTCTTTCTTTTTCTCTTTCTTTTCTCTTACTTTTTATTTTCTCTTACTCTTTCTCTTTCTTTTTCTCTTTCTTCTCTTTCTTCTCTTTCTGTGCCAGTGAAGCCTTTTTTTAACTACTCACGGGAGTCGAAATTCTAGTTTCAAATATGATTGTAAAATAATTATTTATATAAAAAATATACTGGAAAATGTGGTTAATGAGCAAACTAAAGGGTGTTAAGTTTATAACTCGAAAGTAAAAGTTTAATTTCAATTTCGACATTTAGGAGAAAAAAGCTTCACAAGTTGAGGCGCTTCGGTCTTTCTAAAGGCCAAATTGCTTTGTTTTTCTTTGTCTCAGATGATTTGAGTCTTGGTATTGACCCGAAGATATTTACGTTGTTCTGAAGATCAACTAGTCAAGCAACACCATGTTGTCGGATTTGAGTGGACCTACTAATGGTTTTGGACTTCGTTTCTTGGAACAATTAAACACCAGTGATTCGAATAAAAATGTCGTTTTCTCTCCTTTAAGTGTCATATTAGCCTATGGAATGTTATTGGAAGGAGCGACTGGTAGAACTAGAGAACAGATCAAAGAGGTTCTCCAATTATCTTCTATTGGTGATCAAAATTCTGAAATTTCTCAAGCCGCGAAAAAGGTAAACACTTTGATTAACTCATTTACTCTTTTACTGATCGCAAATACGATTCATTTCTTTGTTTTATTTTAGCTTCTCGGTGAATATAAGTCAATTTCAAAGAGTTATGCTGACCGTCTCTTCTCATTGATTTTGGGCAATTTGCTGTTAGTCAACAAAGATTATTCATTAAAAGAAGCGTTTGTCAAAAGCTTATCGAGAAATTATTTCGCTAAAGCGGCAAATGAAGATTTTCAAAAAGGAGTCGAAGTCATGAATAAGGTGAACTTGTGGGTCGATATAAAGACCTTTGGAAAAATCGATAAAATCTTAACCGAGCCCCCGGGTCCTGACACCGTGTGCATTATTATAAACACCGTTTATTTTAAAGGGAAATGGCGCAAACCGTTTGAAGGAAGTGATACATTTGATGAAACTTTCACTAATTCTGATGGAACTAAAAGTAAGATTAAAATGATGTCCCTTGTCGGTATGAAATTTAAATATCTGCACAATTCCATAGCCAAATTTAAGGTAAAGTAAATTTAACTTTCAACCGAATGATCCATTTTATTATCAATTATTGATAGTTCATAGTTCATGTCTACGGCTTGAGTTAACATTCATTAGGATAAAAACAATAACAAGTCACTTGCTCGTCTTTCTTCAATTTCAGGTTATTGAGCTTCGGTATATTGGAAAGGTCAGTATGATCTTCATTCTACCCACTGAATCCAACACTTTGTCCAATTTAATTCCTACTTTAGACCAAACGGAATTAGAAAGGCTTTTGAATTCTATGATCCGAACGAAGCTTCGTGCTATTTATATTCCGAAATTTAAACTTGAAGATACCCACAAGTTACATGAGATTCTCCCTCGAATGGGAATGGGATTGCCGTTCAGTGGACACGCAGAATTTAAAAACATCACTGAAAAATCTGATTTATTCGTATCCGAATCAATTCAAAAGGCTTTTATCGAAGTCAATGAAAAGGGAACTGTCGCTGCAGCGGTGACACGTATTACTGGCACATTGGGCGGTAGGAGTAATAGAGCGAAAGAAGATTTCATTCTCGATCGACCTTTTATATTCATGATTCGCGACAAACAAACAGGAGTTAATCTTTTTCTCGGTCAGATAAATCAAATGCCTGATCTTAATTAATCTTTGTGCGAATCATTTATATCACTTTGGTTGGAATAAATTTTTTATCTATCAACTAATTCGAAGAGAAAACTATTAACTCGATAAAATCAGACCAAAAGAAACAACAAATGGAAAACAATTTAATCACCACTAATCGTCATGGATCCGATTGTACAACTGAGATTAACAAGATCAGACAAGAAGTTAATTCAGTGAACAGTAAAGTGGATCAAGTTATGGAAGATTGTAAGCAATTGGTGAACAAAGAAAGTGACCTGGTGAAGAAAAACTTGAGCGATATTGAAGATGAGTTCGAAATGACCATGGAACAGTTCAGAGATTTCAAAAAGGAAATCAAATTCTAAGACTCTAAATAAACACCAACCTCATCATAATGGAACATTATCAATCTAAGATCAGCTTTGATTCCGGACTAAATCGACATCGCAATTACATAAGCCAGCCGATGGAAAAACCTCATCGCATGGCAAGTTCGTCTGCGTCTTTATTGGCTATGATCCGTCGAACTAGTAGATTATTACAAGACGAAGCTTCCGATCTCGATGGTCTTGGTAATTATCGATTTGTCTCCGACATTTCCAATGGCCTCATGTCCCGAAACGACTTGGATGCCGATGAAAGTGCCATTAGGATACTCAAGCAAATTCGATGTGATATCGATGAGAAATTAAAAAGGCTCAATGCTTTGGTCAATTCAACTAATGGCGAAGATAAAGAAATGACAGCGAAAAATTAAATCGCCGATCAAGTTAATACTAAAAATGATTTTCAATCTCTATCAAAAACCATTTTGAGTGTTTATTTACACTTCACATTGTGTAAATGGACCAACAGTCAAGTACCTGAAAATTTCCACTTTTTGTGCTCGACATTCGTAGGGTGGTTGATTTGAAACGGATGTAAATTAATCAACTAGAGTGTACGTGAGTCGAAATTCTAGTTTCAAATATGATTGTAAAATATTTATTTGTATAAAAAAATACTGGAAAATGTGATTAATGAGCAAACTAAAGGGTTTTAAGTTTATAATTTGAAAGTAAAAAGTTTAATTTCAATTTCGACATTTAGGAGAAAAAAGCTTCACTAGTTGAGGCGCTTCGGTCTTTCAAAAGGTCAAATTGCTTTGTTTTTCTTTGTCTCAGATGATTTGAGTCTTGGTATTGACCTGGAGATATTGTCGTTGTTCTGAAGATCAACTAGTTAAGAAACATCATGTTGTCGGATTTGAGTGGACCAACTAATGGTTTTGGACTTCGTTTCTTGGAAAAATTACACACCAGTGATTCGAATAGAAATGTCGTGGATCATCTATCAACTAATAACAACCAAGATGAATTCAACGAATTGATTGATTTGATTGGACAGCAAGCTAAGGGGCACACCAAAATCTGCCCATGGCGAAAAAAATTTTTTGTGAATTTTTTCTGAGACAACTTTTTATGTTGATTTCAAAAATGTTAAAATTTTTCTGATCAGACATCAAATACAAAAAATACACTGAAAAATGTAATTAAGCGTAACTAGTGATGATTGTCAATTGCAAAAGTTAAAAGCTGGATTTTTGTTGAAAATAATAAACAATTATTTTTTTAATGGGTTGTAAAGTACAATATTTACATAAAAGACTATTGATAGTCATTTGAGAAGTTCCTCCTCCGCATTTAAAGGCTGGGAAATTACTTTTTCAGCCATTGATTCAGCTACAGTTGCACTTTCTTGGGCTTTAGAAGAAGCATTTATAGCTTTCTCTTTAGCCTCTCGTGCCTCCCCCGTTTCTTTATTATGATTAGCGGTTGCTTCTGAAACCATCTCTATGGGTTTAGCCTTATCTCTTGTGGCTCGGTTTTTCTCCTTCCTGGCCTTTTTCGCCGCTTTTTTTGCTATATATGGATCAACTAATCCTTTCTCTTTCATTTTCGCTGCGACTTCGGCTGTTCGAAGTTTTGCTCTCTGTCTAGCATTTTTGCGCCACTGCTTAGCCATTGTAAAATGAAGAAATCGATATTGTTATTTCTGAGAAAAGAAATAACTAATTTGCGAGATGAATTGTTTACAGTTATCAATCGTAAATCAGATGATTTAGCCAAAAAGACGGTTGAAAGATTGGATGGAGTGGAAAGGAGATTATCTCAGTCTGAGAAAACTATTAACTCGATACAATCAGACCAAAAGAAACAGCAAATGGAAAACAATTTAATCACCACTAATCGTCATGGATCCGATTGTACAACTGAGATTAACAAGATTAGACAAGAAGTTAATTCGGTGAACAGTAAAGTGGATCAAGTTATGGAAGATTGTAAACAATTGGTGAACAAAGAAAGTGACCTGGTGAAGAAAAACTTGAGCGATATTAAAGATGATGAAGATCAAGATGCCTTGAGAAGTGAATTGAAACACTTGATGATGAAAGAAAAGTTGGAACAAGAGAAATTATCACAATCGATCGATGAGATTAGAGATTTGGTTCGTAAAGATGGACAAATCAATTCGGAAACAAGATGAACAATTTACCAAGAGTCAAGCAACAATCAACGACGATATGAATCAAACCAAATCAGTTTTACACTATTTAACTAAAGAATTGGATTCAATCAAACAATCAATCGATGAGAAGAAAATTATTGAAGGTAAAGAAAGTGAATTAACTGCATCCAATGCTACCAATCACAGTAGATAAACTTAATCAACTAAAGCAATTTCATTAATCACAATTCGTTAAATGATCTTTCGGTTAATTGCTTCTCTTCGCCATCTATTGGTGCTTTTCACAACTAAATTCGTTTTACTGAGTTTGCGCAAACCGAATTTTCTTTGAGTAAAGTCACGTGATCCGAAATCTATCAGAAAACATTTTCATTGATGAGAATCTTAATTTTGTACTAATTGTCAAGAAAGCGTGTTAATCATTGTCTCCTAATTTCAGTTTTCCATCTCAATTGTAACCTGTGCTCTATAGTTAATTTTCCTCGACTGTGAACTATCATTTAGGCAAAAATGGCAAGAGGACAACAGAAAATTCAATCTCAACAAAAAGCTGCTGCCAGAGCCCAAGCAGCGAAACGTCAACAAGGACATGACCAGAAAAGTGCTGCTGCCAAAGCGCTTGTATTTACATGTACAGTTTGTAAGGTAATTTCTGATTGATTGCAGCTAATTTGCCGATGGTCGATCGATTCTTTAGTCGAGTTAATTTCAGGTGACATTTTGCTCTCATGTATTATTTGGAACAAGTTTCTCAGGATCATAGAGCTTATTCATTTTCATGTGGTCTCTTCTGTTCCCATGGTTTTGTTTTTATTTACTGTTTAGATAATTTTCAGAGAAAAGTCATGATTATAATTCTTGGTTTCGATTAATTTTGTTCCATCTTTGTTGACTTCTGATATTGTTTACCTCAAATTTTCAAGGTTACATTGTCTTTCAATCGCACTCGTTGTTATGATGAAGCTGTTATTCACTCCTACCAATCAATCAATCCAACTTTATGTTCGATTGTTATTAGCTGATTTTATCACAAGTAATTCTAATTGATTTATTTGGAAAATCAATGGATAGAATCTCAACTTAAATAACAAAAATTCTAACATTTCTAAAATTTAACAATTCTAAAATTCTAACAAAAATTCATCTCCGTTTAAGGAAAAGCTTTTTAGCTTATATTTACACTTCCGTCAGGTCTCAGCTGAGATAATTTCACTCTTTTTGTTTAATTCAACTGTTTAATTAAAGCTAAATTAGTGTCTTGTCATAGCTTCAACAAAGCAAATAGGTTATGAAACGAAATAGATCAACTTTTATAAATAACTTGTTCTTTTTACCTTTAAATCCTTGACATTATTTCAAATCAATACTTGAGGTTATGTGTTAACCTGTAAACTGGTTAAAGGTTTAGTTTTATCCGGAATTTAAAAATAATCAACTAATTGTGTAACCATTTCTATCTCCCAATAGGCACAAATGCCCGATCCTAAGACTTACAAGCAACACTTTGAAAATAAGCATCCAAAATCACCAATGCCTGCGGAACTTCAAGACGTCGCAAGTTAACCGAGTCCTCGAACTTTTAATTTCCGGTCAACCTCAAAAGGAATCTTTCCAAACTGATGGGCCATTTATTGTATAAGCTTGTTTAAAATTGAAACGATTATTACCCAAAATTTCCCGATAACAAAAAACTGTTCAATTAGAAAAATTGTTCTGCTGAGACTATTCAATTACAACTAAAAACGAATTTAATAAATTCAATTGAATCTTAAAAAAAGGAAAAAAAATCCACTACTGTTTCTATCAATACGACTATTTGACTTACGAATTTGGTTTCCAGGAGAAAAAGAAAATTACTTAAATTCTATTGACTTGAAATTGAGTCGAATCTTAATTATTATCAGTCCATCTTAATTCTTAATTTCATTATTTCATTTCCATCATCACAAAGAGACTTCATGTTAATGATTTAGATGAACAATCAACAGCAATAACCGTAAGTTCAAAGTTGTTATTCTTTGAATATATTTTATTGTGCCGATTCTTATTTGGAGATAATCTCTTCAAGAATTTAAATATTGAATATTCACGATGTTAAAATTTCGTTGAACAATCTAAGAACTGATCTTACAATTCTTATTTGTTTCTTTTTCTAGTCCAACTCATTACGTTTCTCTTATTGATTTTTCTTCTCTTCTTATCAGATTCTTATTCTCATAGCGAAAAACTTGATGGTCGAATCGTTGATTATAAAATCTGGTCAATTGGCTCCTTCAAATTTCATTCCAATTACAATTTTAAGGTCACAAATACAATTCATAGGATTCGACAACTTTTGAGAGTTTCTATCTCTTCATGGATTAAACTCTCTCTCACTGTTTTCACCATAGATTTTGATTTCAACATTCATTATATCGCTCTTGAATTGTCCGTTTCTTGGATATTAACAAATTGACCTTCCCGAATTAACGATCATTGATTAAACAATCAGATCACTTTGAAACTTATACAAGTCATTTGAATATTTCGACGCGGAAACTGGAACATATATCAATAAACTATAAATAAGCATTTTATTATTATCATTTAGGCTTCTAATGTCTACTAATTTCTGTTACAATTTAATTTATTGGTGTCGTGTGATTTACGAGGAAACAAATTTATAAGCAAATCCTTTACCCAACAATTGGTTGGTTTTTGATTTGATCAAATAAATTTTACCAGAATCGGGTTCAGATTGAGATTGAGATGATGTTACGTATATTTTATCGAGGTTTGGCCCACCAAAGGTCAATGAAGTTACTTTGCTGGCTGGAACTCTAATCGATGATTCAACTCTGGACGTTTTCGGGTTAATCTTGACCAATCGACCTCCGCCATAAAGAGCAGTCCAAATGTAGTCATTGGCATCGACCATCAGACCATCAGGATATTCATTGGACACAAAATCAGTGTGATTTTTAAGATCAACGAAAATCCTTTTATTGGTCAATGTTCCTGATTCTGAATTGTAATCAAAGATATAAATCTTCTGGTCTTCGGAGTCATTAAAGTAAAAACTTGTTCCATTGACTGACCAGTCCATTCCGTTGGAAAGTGTAAAACCTGAGGCCACTTTGATCAAGCGATTACCATCGAGTCGATAAATTGACCCACCACCTTTAACCAATGGCGATGCTGCATCAGTAGATTCAACCACTGAGCCGATAAACAGTCGACCCGCTGAATCGCATGCACCATCATTGAATCTCTCATCTCCAGCAGGGTGAACACCCAAAGATGATAAGGTCTGGACATTTCTGGTCTTCCAATTATACTTGGCGACTGACGATCTCACCGTTACAATGAAACTCGACTCATCTTCTGAAAATGGAATCACCAAAGAAACGAGTTTATTTCCAAGAACATGAACATCTTCCGGTGTTCCATTCAGAGGTGAATGGACTATCGTTCCTTTGAATGCATCAACATAATAAAGAGAGTCACTGGTTGGTTCATAAAAAGGTCCTTCGCCTAAATCATTAATCCGATTAGAAACAATTGAAACATTGTAATCACTTTGATCGTTCATTTGGATCGATTTACATTGAAAGTATTGAAAACATAAGAAAAAAATAACAATGGAAATAAAATTAACTTTCATCAAGAACATTTTTCTCTCAGTAATTATTAATTATTAAATTTATCAGATGCAAAACTATGATAATTAACCGAATTGATTAGATATCGATTTCTCTCTTTATCAACTTCACCGTCAAGAGGAATTTGAAAACTAATCATTTGGATTTTATTATTTTATGAGATTCACTGAACTTTAATCAAGTTTCAAACTGGACACAAGTCAATGACCGATCAACCGATTACACTTTTCATCTCAACATGATATCGGTAAAGCTCAAGATATGAGCGTAAGCTCAACTTTTCTACTTTTAGCTGACTTTTTTGGCTTACGATTCGCGGCTTTTTAGGAAAATGATTTAATTTAATTGATTAACAATTAATTCGACAATCAAAAATTTGACTCCTCGAGAGCACATGTTAGTCCACATTCAACAATGAAATAAAAGTAAACGGGGCTGATTAGCTGTCGAAAGCTAACATTACATTAATTGTCTCAATTAAAAGAGTTTATTTATTTTTCCTAAATCAAACAATCAAACAAAACCAAGCCAATTATATTCACTTTCATCGGGTATAAGTTATCCGAGTGAATAGATTGGAGAGTAGAAAGTAAATGAATGAATATTAGAAATCTTCTTCTGCTTTTAAAACCCTCTTTTCGACGAAATATTTGAACTTCTCCGCTAAATCATCCACTTTTATCTCACCACGAACGACATTATCTCTTGTACGAACGTTCACTGAATCGTTTTCCTTTTCTTTTTCTCCAACAACCAAGATGAAATTGAATCTGTCGAGTTGAGCATTTCGAATTTTCTTATTTAAACTCAGTCCAGGATCAGCTCCAATTTCAACTTCGAAACCTGCTGCATACAATTTAGAGCGAACTGCCTCAGCATATTCAATGAAAGGTTCGGCTACAGGAATGAGAATAGCTTGTTTAGGAGATAACCAGAAAGGCCATTTACCACCGAAATTCTCGGCTAAGATTGCTAAGAAGCGTTCAACAGATCCAAAGATGGCTCGATGAATAATGACCGGCTTATGTTTTTCACCATCCGGTCCAATGTAACTCAAATTGAATCGAATTGGTAACTGAAAATCTAACTGGATTGTGGCGCATTGATATGATCTTTTAAGAGCATCTTTCACAGTTATATCGATTTTAGGTCCATAGAAAGCACCATCGCCGGGATTGAGGCCCCATTTGTGTCCACTAGCATTCAAAGCATTTGTTAAAGCTTCTTCGGCACTATTCCAAATTTCAATCTCACCGATGTAGGAATCTGGTCGAGTGGACAGAACCATTTCGAAAGTGAACCCAAGAGTAGTGTAAACATCTTGCATGAATTGTAAAGCTTTCACAATCTCTTCTTCAATTTGATTATGAGAACAGAAGATGTGAGCATCATCTTGTTGGAATCGACGGACTCGCGTTAACCCGGAAAGAGCACCAGAGACTTCATTTCGATGGAGAACACCGAAATCAGCGAATTTGATTGGTAATTCTTTCCAAGATCGGGTACGCGAATCGAAGATGAGACAATGACCTGGACAATTCATTGGTTTAAGAGCATATTTTTCTTCGTCAAGGTCGAAAACAAACATATTATCTTTGTAATGTTGCCAATGGCCCGAAGTCTCCCAGAGTTTAGTGTTATAAATATTTGGTGAAATAACTTCTTTGAATCCTCTTCCACGATACTCTTTTCGAATGAAATTTATAAGTGTATTGTAAATATGAGCACCATAGGGTGAGAAGAAAGCTGTTCCTCTGCTGAATTCATGGAAGAAGAATAAATCTTGATCTTTTCCAATTTTTCTATGGTCACGTTTAGCTGCTTCTTCTTGAAATCTTTCCCATTCTTTCATTTGCTTGGTATCTGGAAAGATATACCATAGACCCTTTCAATGGCTCTGAAACATCACCTTCCCAATGAGTGGATGAACTCTAAGGACAAACGATAAAATAGAATCGATAGAGATCATAAGTTTCCTGGAAGAAAGATCTAAAAATACTCACTTTGGTTACTTTAAGAGCCTTAATGAGACCAGTGTGTTTGATATGTGGACAAACACAAATCGATCAAAGACACATCGATAAACTGATGTTCGATCTTCTTTCACTTTTCATTTAGAATTCGCTTTGAATTGATTATAAGAGAACATTTCTAAAAGCTGATCCTTCGTTAGTTCGAGTCTTTCAAACGGTTGTTTCTCATTACAAATGGTTTCATTAGATTCTCAATCTGAGGGAAATGATGAAGAGAAACAGTAGACAGATTATCATCTGAGGTTTTAGTTTCTGCGTCACCAGAGTTTCCACACGAAGTACATGATTTGTGCATCATGTACATATCGTAATAAAAACCATTCTCAATGGGTGGACCATAACATGACTTCGTACAGTCTCTCCAACGCTTCTCCCAAAACATGAGCCGTCGAATGCCAGAAAACCGCTCTACCTAAATAGTTGAAAGATTTGATAACACGTTCCCTATTTAGCAACAAGTATTCTGATTACATACCTTGATCGTCATCAAATTTCACCAATTCAATAGAACAATCATTTTCAATGGCCTTTCAAGATCCCACAATTTACCATTTACCTTTGAGATGATTATACTTTCAACCCATGATTTAGATCCAATTTTTTGCGACATCCATTACAGTGGTTTCCAACTCTCCAAATCATCCAATTGTTTAACTTTTCCATCTTTATCGGTAACAGAGATTTTGATTGGCTTCGGTTCTTTGGTGGCCAATTCAGCTTCATAATCGGCTTTAAACTTATCCCACAATTTAATTCTATGGTCAAGAAATTCCGGTAACGGTGATAACTCCTTCAATGGAGATTTAACCTGAGTGGCACCCGAAGCATCACCAACAGTCATCTTGTTAATTAGATAAGACGAAGAAACAGAATAAGTTGATTTCAATCGATTGAGAATTAATTTAACTACAACTATTTTCACATTTAACCGGATCTTGTTCATCCCATTGAACAATCATGGCCGATTCTCCATGTTGTCCGAACGAACTGTCATCTGGTGGCCAATCGAGCAAAGAGAAGAAAAGAATCAAAGTCGCGCTTCAAGTGGAAGAACATAAGAAGAAACCAAATAATCTGGTAGGTGGAGTTACAAGTGGCAACGATTCGGTCACTTGGAAGCTTCAACTGAGAAAGGTTTCATGATAAATTCATTGGTGTTTTCAATTGTTCTCAATATTTGTTACATTAAATTACTAATTTATTATTGATTTATTCCTGTGAACAAGTTGAGATAATAATTCTCTTTGTTTGTGTTGACCATTAGATTGAAGGAGAAGATTAAAAAGAAAACAGATTGTCCATTTTCCAATTTGTTTTTCTTTAAGTGGACCTTCATCTTCATCTTCATCTTCAAAACCTTTGTTTCATCTTCTCCTCAATTTCTGTTTTCATCTTTATTCTCGCTATTTCATCGACATCACATCTACCCAAGCCCACCATCATCAAAATGTATTCAATTAACTTGTTGATAGTTACCTTGTGTTACCAATTGTGGCTGAAGAATGTTAATTTGGCTGATGCAGCCTCATCTTCATCTTCATTAAATCAACAGAATTCAATCAATGGTGTTCCCGAGGTGGTTTTAAGCCATTTCCAACCGATGGTTGCTATGCTTTGTGGTCGTGGTAAATTTCACAATCAATATTTGGATGAAAACAAACGATGGATTTCTGACCCTGATCCCAAAGCGGTTTGTACAAAAGACAAATTGGAAATTTTGGAATATTGTCGCAAGGTTTACCCCAAAAAGGATATTCGGAATATTGTTGAATATAGCAAATACATGGTTGTTGAGAATTGGTGTAAAGTTGGACAAAAGTGCGGTGGTCGTCATTTCATCAAACCTTACCGATGTTTAGAAGGCCCATTTCAAAGTGATGCTCTTCTTGTACCTGCTTATTGTCTCTTTGATCATATTCACAATGGATCGATCTGTCAAAGCTCAGAATATTGGAATCGTACAGCTGCTTCAAGTTGCGCTGAGAAACGTAACATGAAACTCAAATCATTTGGAATGTTACTCCCTTGTGGAGTTGGAATATTTGGTGGTGTCGAATTTGTTTGCTGTCCAGCTTGGTCAACAACTACATCTCCACCAGAACTTGTGACTCTTGGAACCGAAAAGAAACAATTGGGTAAGCGTTTCATCTCAGTCATCTTCTCTTCTCTTTTTTCTCATCTCTTTGCTTTCAATTGAATAACAATTAATGAATCAATTGTATAATATTAGTAAAGAGCAAAGGAAAAGCTTAATAATTATGAAAATGAATCAACAAAGGTGCAAGTTTTATTCCTTTTCCATATTACTTTTTTTCTCATCTCCAATTACTCTTTTTTTGAGCTATTGGAAATGTCTATTGGGAAAACGCATACTCACATTCTCGTTTAACCCCATTTTTAGTATTTAGTATTGGTAATATAACCAATGGTTCCTCTTTGCACTTTTCCTTTCTCTCTCTCTCTCTCTCTTTTCTGGACTCTCTTGAGATTTGATGAAGCAAATTACTAGATTGTTACACGATAATCAGCTATTTTAATGAACTGTATCAAAAAACATTAACAAAGTCTTGTTTCCAAGTTTATCGTCAGTATTTATGTTTTAGCTTTGGGTTAGGTTATTTATTCTTATATTAATAGTTTATCGTGTAAAAAATATAATCTTTGACTCGATCACACGATTCATCTTTGTCTTTCTGATTAGTCTCTAATGAGTTGGTGTCTATTCTCAATATCATCTCCCTCATCGTTGTCTTTAGTTTTCACCATGACCTCTCTCTCTCTCTCTCTCTCTCTCTCTCTCTCTCTCTCTCTCTCTCTCTCTCTCTCTCTCTCTCTCTTCATTCATCTCCTTTTTTATGAAAAATGAACAATAATTCATACTATGTGTTACAAAGTCTATGATTTATTGAATGGAAATCATGCTCATGGAACCTTTTCCACCCCATATCATCCGTATTTTTATATAAAGATGATGGAATAAAATTTTTATGATGAGCCTTTGAAATTCGAGGTGTGCGTGTCTCCCTTTACACCATGAGAATTTTAAAAAATATGTTAATATATGTTCTAGAGTAAATTATTACAATAGAAACTCATCATCTTCTCCTTTTTTAGCTTTCGACTGTCAGTAGATTCGGTCTTTATTTAGCTTGAAACACCAATGAAAATGATCAAAAGCTAATCTGATAATTAAGTATTTTGGTTAACTATCAAAGTTAACAATTACCTCTGAACCTGAAACCCTCGAAAAGATGATAAATAAGATAGCAAATGGAATAAGATTTGTTCACGTTTCCCTGAGTCTTTTTAAAATTTCCATTGTCAAATCTCATCAGTGAATCTTGATTAAAATTAAAATGGTTAACTTGATTCTCTCTCTCTCTCTCTCTCTCTCTCTCTCTCTCTCTCTCTCTCTCTCTCTCTCTCTCTCTCTCTCTCTCTCTCTAAATGTTTAATTATCAGACTCATTTTATTCAACTCTCTTCATTATCATCATCATTTCCATCATCATCTTCATTAAGAGAGATGTTTAATTATTTTTCTTATTTATAATCTTTTCTATTCAAAACTTTGCCACCTTTCAGCTCGTTATTAAATCTCTAAGTGAGCCTATTTAATCGAGAGAGAAAAAAACTCAATGAACTTTCTCTTATGAGATAAATCGTAGTGAAGAATAAGAGACAAGTGGAATATCTTTTCTATAACTTTTTGTATTCTGTCAAACGCATTTTTCTTCATTCTTTTTTCCTCTCTCTCTCCTAATATTTCATAGAAATTTTCCTTTTTCTCATGGTGAATTCTGTTGCTCCCATGATATTATTATCTTTGCTGTTCTCATTGAAATACGATACGCATTATTTACACACAATAGTGGTAACAACTGATAGTCCAATTTTTGGCCTTTGCACGTATTCAAACGGTACACACCCTTCATCTATAATTAAATAAGCAAATATTAACTAGATTAATATGAAATTTGAGTAATAAAATTCAATTGAATTTTGAAGTGATTGAAAATCGAAATATTTTTCGATTTGTTAATTTTCAACGAATTGAAGTTCATTCAATTATTATTAATATTTTTTTCTTTCTCTTAAGAAAAAATTCGAATGCAAATGATTGTCTTCGTTGATTATAATAATTGATTTATTAAATAATTCAAAGGAAAAAAGTGAAAAAAAGTTAAAAGAAATCAAAAATATGAAGTCACCTGACTTCATTTTGCTTCAAAATGGATTCATGGTGAAAGAGATTAAGATGATTATATTACCTTTCTCATTATTATTGCAACTGCGTATTGATAACTATTAATACAATTTAAACGTTACTCATATTACTTGTATGTATTAAATATCATTCACTTGACGATATAATTGCATGACTATTGTCTCTGTGTATTTATAATATAAGAGTTGATAGTACACAAGACTAATTGCAAAAAGTGAAAACAAGATGATGATGAGGGAAGAAAAAATGATGAAAAATAATAGTAAAAAAAGTAGAAATGATGCTTATTACAGTGATCATAATTGTAAGATTATTTGTTCATTTTCATCATGAATATTATACATGTACGTGTATTTCAGTGATTCTGTCTCACTTATAATCAAATGATAATGAAAACAGAGCAAAAGATCATCTCCATTGATCAATTTCTCTTAATCATTTCTTGATTCATTCACCTAACCTCTAATATCTCAATGACCTTATTCAATTGTGACTATATTTTTACTTGACCTACACTTAGCTTCATCTATTTCTCCCCTGATCTTGATCCAAAAAGTAACAAATATTTTCTGATACTTATTAGTAGGAGTTTAATTAGTGAAACAATTTGTTGATTGTTTCCATCTCCTTGTGAAAAAAAGTAAAAATCGTATTTCTTATTCATTATATTTGTATACATACAGTTTTACTTGCTAATTTTGTGTCACCAGTATCATAACTAAAATGACATATAATCTTGTTCACAGTATGAAATCTATCTAATATAATCACAATCTGATTCCATGTAGATTTAATAGCGTAATCAACTATTTTGAACACTAATAAGCCAGTGCGGCTTTAGTATTGATATTATACATGTATTTGCTTTAATTTATTAACTTCACAGTTTGTCCAGTAAATTAACTTAATTCACAACAGATTAGTCTAATTTTACTGAGAACATGAAGTTTAGCCTCACGTAAAAAGAGTTTATTTTGTAACCAGTTTCAATCATTAAGCTTCATCTAATTCGTTACATTCATATTTAATCTTTGTCATTTGTTGAATTTATTTCGCGATCATTTAATGATATTGTAAATCTCTCGTTAATCCACTTTAATTCAGATCTGTACACTAATTCTTTACTCTACCATTTTAATTAGTCCAAATTCTCAACGTTTATATCTTCACTTTCGTAGCGTAAGAAAATTGATAAAGTTACTGATAACTTTAACATTTCATTTCTATTCATTTTATTAATATATTCATCGATTTCACCTGAATTTCCGATAGCAAATTCTCTCAACTGTTCGGCTGATCTACTTGTTGTTTTTTTTCTAAATTCTTGTTTTTCTGATTGTTGCAAACTCCATATCGTGTGATTTATGTTACATTTACTGTTACCTTTTTAAATATTTCAGATTTACTTTCACTGAAATGACAACAGATATAAATCATCATTATGATGACAATGGTATGAGCTTTTCTTCCCAAGTTCTTAAATATGAACATTCCAGTTATTTCCTGTAATGGAAGTGAAAACTTATAGATATTACCTTGAATAACTGTTGCATTTATCTTGTGCACTAATATATTAACACCATTATAATGTTTCCTACGAATTTGAATTTCTCGTTGAGTTACGCGTATGGTGATTACATGTATGGTGGTAAAGATAACATTGATTCATTTTCATCTTGACTATATTAACAAATTCTGGATAGTTTTTTTCTCTCTCAGCTCTTATTGGTGATACATCATAACTGATACATTATTTAAAATTATATTTGTCTTATTTGTGATTGATTGTGAAAGTATTTCAGAAAAAGTTTGAATAAAACAAGAATGAATAAGCATTCGTAGTATTTAATTGAAAACCGTAATGATAAAAAGTTATAAAATATTTGCAAATGATAAAAGAAACTTTTGTAACTTTATTTCATTAAAAAGTAGAATACAAAAGCTAATCATTTTGATGAAAGGAGTAATCATTTGGAGAAAGATGAACAAAGATGAATAAAGATAAAGATAAACAGATGATTTCCATGGAAATAGAAGAAAAGTTAAAAAATATAGTCAGGCAACGCCTTTTGTTGATTGACTAGCATTCAATGAATGATGAAGATGCGAGATGATGAAAGGAAATGGAAGATTTTGTTAAGAATGAAAGGTGAACAATATGAGGGTATTGTACACACTGAGTTGTAGGAGGAGGTTTAAGATGCTGCAGCTAAATATGATTACAATTAAAATTAAATTGAGATAATTCTGATAATTGGGGCTGATGATATAACATCTTGACGATCCTTTTCTCTGTTAGGTTTAAGATTCATCTATCGATTTTATGCTTATCCTTTTACTCATATTAAACCCTTTTCACTTTCATTCTCTTCAGATTCACCAGTTAATCGATCTTCAGAATATCCCTTCTCTCTTATTATTTTCGTCTATTTTTGGCCAGACTTTGTCTTTAACAGAATCTTCGTTGATTTCACTTGTTGATTCTGTTGAAACATCAGATTTTGTTGATTGTTTTATCGGTGTTGTAGCCTTGGGCTCTTCGTTTTCTGGCCACTTTCTGGTTCCTTCTTTTTACCTTATTACCTTTATCATCTTCTTTGTGCTTCTCATCATCTGGTGCTTTTTTCTGTCCATCATCTTTCCTTTGTTCCTTTTGTTCCTCTTTATCTCATCTACCTTTACTCTGGTTTATCTTCTCGCTCTCGACTATTTGCTGTTGTTGATTTTCTTATTGTGGCTCTCGTCATCATCAAAGATGATGATGGTTAGATTAACGATTTTGGAATGTGATTTGGTGTTTGTATTCCGTTGCTCGGTTTTAGATGTTGATTCTTTTTGTCTTAGTTGTAGTAGACTCAGCTTCGGCTTCTTGTCGATCTGATGTATATGGAATCAAATTGGGAGAACT